TAGGACTTGTATATTTTGTGGATCCTTGGCTGGGGGCAAGGCGCCTCTGAATCTCTTGTTGGTGGAAAGCAGGCCACCTAGTGTCAGGGATAGGGAGCAGATTTTATTTCACTTGTACTGTAATAATGCTCACAAATGTAGCACACTTTTGTTTTTCTCATTAGAGTGAATGGCAGCCATTAACTTCTGGGGTTCATTCACAGACATCACTGCAGCAGCAGCAGCTAAACCAGCTTCCCAGCCTCTGAAAATCAAAGCCTGCTCCTATTTCTTTTGTTGGTCACACTGGAGTGTGACTAAGTGTTGAAAACTAGTTTTGATTGGTGGGTGGCTGCTAGCAATTTTGGTGTTATGGTGTCTTGTCTATTGTTACAGATGGAACAAGAATCTCAGATTGAAATGCATTTGCCAATGAACAGGTCCTCATCACAAGTTGAAGAAGGCAGCCCAGCAAAAAAGGTAAGGTCAAGGCATATAGTTTTCTCTTTTCATTTCAAACCCATAAAGGTGATAAATAGTTCCACATACTGACTTCTCCTGAAGATCAGGACACTAAGAAATAGCACTAGCATCACTGTTCCAAAAGGAGCAATCTATTGTGGCACCCCATGAGTGCAACTTGTATATTTTTCCTACCACAGACAAACTGATAGAGTCATTTTTATATGTAAAGTTCATGCTTTGCACACAGAAGGTTACTGGATACCATGGTTCTTTGGGAGAAAACATGGTTGTGGTGGTCCGCAGTGCCTCCATGAAAACAAGCTATGGATTGTTTTCATTTCCCAGGAGGCAAAAGGTGTAAGCGAATGGAGACAAGCCTTTTTTTGGTTCCCTTGAGCCCCACACTCTGCATTTCTTAAGCGAGGCATCTTGGGTTCTTCTCAAAGTAATGGAAAAATATGAGCAACTTAAAAGAGGGAACAGGCAGCTGTGTGTTCCTTCACATTCCTAGCTAAATCTGAAACACAGATAAGAGAAATGGAATGTGACAAAGGTAGTCAGGATAAGGACATAGGGGAGTGAGGCTGTAAGGCTGGAGCAATGTATCCCAGGAAGAATCCCATGAAAACTGAAGCAAGTTGGAACAGTATTGGTGAGAGAGGGACTGATGAGAGCTGAACACTGAGGTTCCTATGGTTCTGTTTCCTAAAGGGAGGGGTTTCCTAGAACAAAGGGAAGGGGGCTCTAAGGAAAGGGGGGTTAACTGGAGTACTAAGTTATTCAGACTTTCCCACCACGTATTTTGGAAACTGGCTGAACACTAGCTTCCTGACTGTTGGTGCTGAGTGAAGGTAGAGGCAGGGACCGGAAGAGGAGAAGGAAAGAAGGAAGGAAGATTCAGGCTGGGATCATAGTTCTTGCTTTATTGATGGCTTCAGAAAAGTGGGTGATAGGTAGCAATAAATTCACACAACAGCATAAATACATGCATGGAGGAAAAGGAAGTGATGTGTAGCCTGAGACCCTTCATATTTCAAGTAGTATCTTATGGGTGCTATAACAATATCAAGGCACCTTCCTTGTAGCAACGGCAATAGGTAAGAGATATCTGAAGAAATAATAATGTTCTCTCAGGTATATAAGTGCATCCAGTGCTTGAAAAATGAGGTATCCTTGCCACAAAAGTGGCAGAGAATTGCACCTGGAGTACATACAGAAAATTGGAAACCAATGCAGATTGACCATATAAAAACCTGATCAGCTGAAAATACGCAATGTTATACTGTAAGATGTATCCCCCCCCCTCCTTCCAGCTCTAAGTCTGTTTTAGTTGTCAATGCATGGGCTACTGTATATACTGTCAATGCATATATACTGTATTGGTTTACACTATATCTATACTGATACAGAAAATACAGTAGTTAAAATTCAACCTGCAAAGTTAGGGTTTTTATGTCATCAACTATGTTTCCATTGAATGTGTTCATTTATGAGTTCATAATGCAAATTTTCCTTTCCATGCATTCTACCACCACTCTTTTTTTAATCTCTTAGTGACTACTTGTGATGTAATTTTCCAGTTTGCATTTGGAATATTGTCTCGGTCCAAAATAAACTGATTCAGAAGAATCTTCATTGTGGTGGTCCTACTGAAATAAACAAAAATTAAGAGCATAATTATGATGTTAGGCAACTCTTATTCTTAGCAATGGATTTGCCCAGGAAACTTCTATGTATTATGGAAAGTTGTTTATCTGTTTGCTATAGTTTGGACAACTCTTTAAGATATTGTAGCCAGATTTTACATGCTGGTTTCTGAGATCAAGAAGCAGGATGGGTTGTTGTTGTTGTTTGTGTGTATTATGGCTACAATTAGGTGCCATTTTGAATCTAGATGGCAGACTGAAATTTTCAGAACTGCACCAATTGCAGCTAAATTTTGCACAATGGTTCCGGAAACCAAGGAGCAAACGTTCATCTATGTTTAGATAAAGTTTGGATGCCATTTTGAATCAACATAGCGAATGGAACCTCTCAAGCTGCACTGATTTTTTGGTTTCTTTTAATTCCTGAGGAACTCCAGGTATGAAGATACTAGTTCCTAAGAGATGATGCCATAACAGAGATAAATTAAAGTGGTCTAGGGAATGAGGATAGACAGAGCCAAAGTAAACAATACCTTTTGGGTCTGAAAAAAATTGTTAATGAGATTCTGATGGCTGTGTTGTTTTCCTAATGAATCATCAATAGTTATTTTAATCATTGCTCTCTTTTTTCCCCCACAGGAGGTGTTGCTTACTCAACCACCATCAAAACCGATTCGCAGGAAATTCCGGCCTGAAAGCCAGACGCTAGAGAACCAGGAACTTTCTCCCACGAAAAGTGTAGCCCCTTCCTTGCCTGCCATCAAATCCCACCATACAATCCCAAAGTAAAAAGGCTGACTTTTATGAGAAATTGGGGAGAGGGCTTTGTGGCAACATGGAGGGATATAAAGCATTCTAAAAAAAGGGAATGTGGAAAAAGTGCAAGTGAGCTGCACTTCCTTCTACTGTCTTCCAGATGTGAAGTTTGAAAATAATTTTGTTTGGGCAATTCACAACCACCAGATGCTGACACAGCTTATGCAACTCACTTGTTTTTTCTTAGTACTTAGAGCATGCAGACTCGCTGAAAAAGACATCTAGCCTTCTGAAATACTCTTCTGTGGATTAGGGGTGGGCAGGGGCGGGAATCTGGAAAGGGACAGTTAATCTATGGAGAGATGTCGGCGGAAAATCCTGGTGTATGGCAAGAGACTGAATAGATGAACTTTGATACCTGTTCTAGTGTTCTGGCTCCATGATTTTGAGGGCTGTTGAAATGTGTTTTGGAACCAGTACAATGAAGGAATAACTGCCTGGCCATTGAATCCATGCAGCCATTTTTTATTTTTATTTTAAGTTTTCTAATCCCATGTAGTACCTGAAAAGTGGTGGTATAAAGCCACACCCTTCTGAAGTATGCATTTCTGGCAAGTAACGTGGAAGGCTGGAACTCTTCCTAAGAGTTTTTGAGTGAACTGAAAGTATTAGTGTTGTTTGTAGAGCCTAATTGACTCTTTCAAAACAGATGCATTTGCTGCTGGCATAACAAATTAGTCCTATTTTGAGAACAGTAAATGGCTGAAGTTTACTTATCAGTCAAATAAGCATATTTTTGTTTTCCTCAGCTAGAGTGTTGAAGGATGTGGCAGAGGGCAGTGAAGAAGCAGGGGGAAGACTTTCTGGAAAAATCATTGGGATTCTCTTCCAAAGATCAAATTGTCACCTCTCTTTTTAGAGAGTGGGAAAGCTAACTCCACTTTTTTCACATGGACTTTGTGCTGTTTTTAAAATAAATGTATCTGCCTTTGATCACGTTGTCATTTAAGGGCGGCTAACACCTTGCAGAAAATCATAAAAGGCTTCTCTCAGGAACAATTCTGCTTATCTAGCCTATATTTCCCCTGTTTTTCCAGTTTCTTGGTTTTCTCTCAAGATGAAAATTGCTAACATATTCACTAAAAAAAAAGTAGAACAGATGGATGTACAAAATCTAAAGACTCATACTGGAAATTCTGTTTTACCTTGTGACATCATAACTTTGGTCTCTTGCATGCTACAAAGAAGCAGGGGAGTACAAATGAGTTTTATTTATGCTTTTACTACTGCTTTGTAACATGCAAACTACCTCTATCTCTCAGGTGGAAAAAACCATGAAAATATTAACTAATAAAGGGGGGCAGCAAACATATCTGTATACAAATGTTCTTAATAAGGTTTCCATAGGGGAAATACTAGTAGGTGCAGATATGCTAGTAAAACAAAAAACCAAAAAACTTGCTTTTTTAAAACCAAAGATAATATCAGTAGTCATGATGGCTATTTATTTCTGGTGAACGTGAGTAGCAGAGGACTTCAAATAGATTATTGTACTTTGAAAAGTAGGGTCCTGCTTCTAGGTTTCCCACAAACATCTAATAAGATGCTTCTAGTAAGAGCTGTTCAACGGTGGAACGGACTCCCTCAGGAGGTTGTGGACTCTCCTTCATTGGAGGTTTTTAAGCAGAGGTTGGATGACACCTGTCATGGATGCTTTAGTTGAGATTCCTGCATTGCAGGAGGTTGAACTAGATTCTTTGATCTAACTGGCAGCTGTGGGGATAGAGTGCTGGACCAGATGGACCTTTGATCTGATCCAACAGGGCTCTTCTTACATTTTAAAATATATTTCTCATTCTTTATACTAAACAGAAAAACGTATTTATGACTGTTTGTACTGAAAGTTAAACACAGGTGCTATCTTTAGACCTATTAAGGGGACAGCTGTGTTGATCCATAAAAGCATGCCATTGTCCATGTCAGGTCATGTAGTAGGAGGTCAACTGTCCATGAAATTGGCAGTGTTAGACTGGAGATCCCTCCATTTGAGCTGATCTCAGTTCAGTGGTATATAGGGAAATAGGCTTTAATGAGGAAATTGAGCCAGGTTAACATAGTAAATGAATTCTGGCCTACAGATAGGGCTATTAAAATGCCTGGATAGCCAGTTGGTTACAGTATGGTGCTGATAACGTCAAGGTTGTGGGTTCGATCCCCATATGGTACCGCTACATATCCTTGCATTGCAGTGGGTTTAACTAGGGTCCCTTCCAACTCTACAATTCTCTACAATTTCTTCCTTACATTTCTGATTTCCACAAGATCATGATCTCTTATTGAATGTCCTGATTTCATAAATATTTATTTCTGCATAGCAACTCTCTTTTGTAAATGCATTTCCTCCCCCCCCACCCCATTTTGATTTTAATTAGTCTCAGGTGTAAGTATCATAATGCATCCCTTTTTACCAAACAGCAGGAAGGCCCTGTGATACATTTTCTGAAAGTGGTTTGTCTTTACTCTCCGGCAGACAGTCTTCAAAACAGAAGAAAGCTATTCAGACAGCTATCCGTAAAAATAAAGAAGCGAACGTGGTCCTAGCTCGGTTGAACAGTGAACTCCAGCAACAGCTGAAGGTAAGGAGGACACTTCAAGTAGGGATCTATGCTTAGACATGTCGTGAAGCTCTCTGAAGCCTATGTCATATGCCTCCATCTACACTGTTAAATACAGGAAGCAAACCAAAGTGTGTGCACCTTGCCGAGGCAAATACCCTCTCTCCCATCTTGAAATATGAGAGCAGCAGGATCACTTGCACTCTAAGCTGTGGGGGCTGCGAGTTAAACCCCAAAGCGCCCTTTCACAAATGGAAGGAGCTTGGATCCAGCAGAAACTAAAGTACAGATTTTAGCCAATCCCTCCACCATTCAGCCCCATGCTGCTCCAGGGTTCCCCCTCAACCATCTAGATCAGATTTTTAGGGGACTGCAGAGGGAAAGGGAAGCCAGTATCCCAGACCGCCCCATTTGTGAGTAGAAATCTGCTGTAGAACTCTGGAGCCAGCTTTCTTCTCCCCACCCATCCCACCTTCTTTGTAATCTTGGAACAGAAAAGATAGTTCTGGCTTTTCTGCCAAGCGGTGACAAAATGATCTCAGTGAGGTGCTTGGCCTAATATATTCCAGTCAGTGAATTTTATATTTGTATGAGTTGAAAGAAAAAAGATTCAAATTAATAATGGTGGTTAGTAAAATAAGGCCAGTGATTGACTAACTGGATGTCTCTCATAGCCACTGCTCCAAGATTGCTTGTGTAGAGGTGGCCCCTTTAACTCGTTACAGCTGGCTGTAGACATTAGTATTATAACAGAGTTCGGAATAATGTTGGGCAAATCAGTTGGCAAGAGCTAGCCTAATGTTTGTGGCATCTCAAATAAGCCATCTTCTGGAAGCTTTGTGTACTTTAATACACTGTTGTGTTTGATTCCTTAAACACCCAGATTTAAACTGAAAGAGGATCCCAGGCCCTGCATTCAGGGCATAGGGGAATGTCAGTGGGACATTTAGGCAATACTTGCTGCACCAAGCCACCAATTGAGTGTAAAGTCTGTAGTGTTGTAACATCAGTTTACTTGGGCGTGAGTGCTATAAGTATATTAATTACGGAGTGATTGTAAAAGTGGATTTTATAAGTCTGCATCTTAAGGCATGATTGTTTTTATGCATTTATGCCTTTAAGGGCTATATTCTAATTGTTGTTTGTTTGTTTGTTTGTTTGTTTGTTTGTTTGTTTGTTTGTTTGCATGATCTAGGAAGTTCACAAAGAACGAACTGCACTGGAAACTCAGTTGGAGCAGCTCCGACCTGTCACTGTCTTATGAAATTCTGTAACAGAATTTTTGCTTCAAGTACCTTTAACCGCACAATATATTGGCAGAAGCTTTTTTCACTAAGGCAACATCATTTGGGAAAAGTGACTGCCATGTTTCTTTTGCATTTCTTGCACCAGTTTACCTTGCAGATGAGGAAGGTACACAATCTGAATGTCAAACCTTATGCCTATGAAATTGAACTTGTTTTCCCACCGACCCTTCAAGAATGCCTCAGTCAAATTCCATCTCTCTCTTACTGTTAACACTTATTTATTCCAATAATTCTTGATTTATATGCGTTAGGGTGGGCTATTTAAATAGTATATATGTCTAGAAAATTTGCTTATATTTACCTTCATCCTGGATTATCACTTTTTATATATCTGTGATCTTTAAAGTCTTTCTAGTTTTAGAATAAATGAAAGCAGCATCTACAAAGCTCTGTATTCCTTATGTACATTATCTTTTTTTAAAAAAAAAATCAACTTTGTGATTACTGACCATTTCTGGATGCAACACTAGTGTGCTTTTGCAACCCACTGTGGTTTTGCAACCCACACATCTCCTTCTACAAACTACCATTGGGTGTTGACTCCCTGCCTGTTTCCTGAAGCCTGCATCTCAGCCGCTTTGCAGTAGTTGCTTGGAGTTTGTGCACAGGTCCCAAGATATCTGTTATCTGTGTTGCTGTTTTCAAAATTCTGAACCATGGCTGAATCACACTGTGTACTTCTCCACTACAATCTGCAGTTTGGCTCCTGAGCCAGTTAGTATAAAATGAAAGTCTGTGTTCCCCATTCACTATAATGGGGAATCTAAAAACAGGTAAAATGTTTCCTTTTGGACAGAGTGGATTAAGTTTATAGGCACAGAAGTGCCTCCAGAGTGAATTAGGCCTGCCAAATTGCAGACAAATTCCAGGTGCTTTTTGTGGGGAAGTAAAAAGAATGTACTTTTCTCCATAACCCGAGGGGATCTTGTCTTTTTCTTACCTTAAAATAATTAAGAGGTTGCCAAATGGTGCATATACTAGCATGTACATTTTTAAAAGACCTTCGCAGCTTCACATCAGCCTTTTTCCTGACGATTGTTTGTGACCTCCAACAGGCTTTATAGGCCTCCCAGTAGACCTGCACAGGTCTCTAATATACTTTACAATGTTGAGCCTAGAATGCTGCTTGCAGAGTTCTAAAGAGCTCTGGGTTGTTGATTTTGTTCTTATTAAAGCAGAGCAAAGTACACTTAAAAAAACCCCTAAGATGAAATGTTTTACTTATTTATTTTTGTAAAAAAATACACCCAATGCTGTGCTTTGCAGACAACATTTTCAACCCCTTCACGTCTTGCAAAGCCAATGGACTGAGAGAAGCATAGAGATATACAGGAAAATATAGAGTTGTACTGGCACAGAAACAAAGCAGCTCTGTGGCTTTGTTGGTGCCCTGATCAAACTGAAGGGGTGGGAATTACACCATGCTTCGACTCAGGGAGTAGGGGAGTCCCCCACATCATCCCAATTTGCCTTTTTATTTGGCCCCCCAAAACAGCAGTGCATACCCCAGTAGTTGCCATTGGTCCAAACCTGGTGTTGAAGGAATGGAGGTATGTTCCCTGACTGGGAATCTTTGCAGCTACTCCAATCATTTCAACAGCATTGGTGGGTACTGTATTGCCCTCAGACTATGTGGCAGTGTGGGTGATATAACTCCCTGTAGTGTTAGTTCATGGGGTTTGGTGTGTGTGGTCTGCCTGAACTGACTTGTGGGTGCCTTGGCACTAGTATCTATGTGAGTTTTTCTTACTGCTGCAGCATGAAACCCACATGTCTTGGAATGGCTAAGTACAAGGAATGTGCCATAGTTCATACAGGGCAGACTTACTCACAGTTGTATGCTATGCAAGGCCGAGACATGCTGGAGCAATCGTATGTCAGCACAATAGGATTTGTGAACTGTGCCTCATGTCTGTTCATATTACACCTTTTGTATTTAACTTAGTATCAAGTGATGAAAAAAATTAAATGCAAAATTTAGAGATTCGTTGCTTTTGGCAATTAGATGTTTTTGCTTATTTCTTAACTTGTTCTGCTTATTATATCTTAGCAGTGGGCAATATCCATTGGCTAACTGTATGTGACTTGGTAAAATTCCACTTATTTACTTTTTTTGGTAGAATTATATTTGTTTTGTATTCTGGTGAGTTGATGTTATCAGTGAATTCCACATATCCATTTCTCCTCCATTTCTGAGTAATGGATCTCGTTTCCTTATGGCAATTATTGTTTTGGTCGTCTATCCTACTCAGTTAATACACTTCACTCCAAGGAAGTCCTGTTAACCTAGTAAGACTCTTTGACAGTACACATTCATAAGCATATATAATCTTGTCCAGACTGAATTCTAATAGAAAGTATTCCTTGAATTGCATTCTAGAATTCCACTGGCAACGGGGACAGTGATCTTTTGGGGGAAGCTGCAGGTAGGGAAATATTTTTACCACTGTAAATTTATGTAACTTCGTTTTCCTCCCTTAAGTTTCATGTTTCTGAAAGTCATCCCTTAACATAACACACTCACTGCATCATCTACGAGATGTGATGATGTCCTCTAGCTTGGATCTCTTTAAATGAAGATTTGATAAATTCCTGGAACAGAGGACTATCAGCAGCTACTAGGCCATTGCACCAATGTGGAGCCTCTCCTGACAGTGTGGCAGAGAGCACCAGTTATTTCGGTGCAAAATAAAAGGAAAGGACTACTGCGTTGAGGCCTTTTTGTGGGCTCCGCACAGACCTACCTGGCTACTATTAAAAACAGGATATGGAATTATACGGCCTGTTGGTGTGATCTGGTAGGGCTCTTCCTGCATTATATGACCCACACCATTCACTGAAAATATTCCATAGCCTTGCAAAGTAAGCATAATGTCAGGCGACAGAAAACCCTGCCCACTTCACCCAGACCAGGGTGGCCCTCCCAGATGATGATGTACTGCATCATCACTAAAGCATTGGCCATGCTAGCTGAAAGGGGCAAGGGCAGCCAGCGCAGATTCTCTATCCCAGAACTAGACAGACAAGAATATGCTCCAATACATTGTGCTCTGGTTTTCATAAAACAAAATTCTTCATGTATACCACTTAGAAACCTTGGTGATTAAGCAGTATATAAATAACTTAAATGAATAGTAAAAATCTTAGTCATTTCTACAGATTCTCAGCTGTAGCTCAGTGACAGAGCACATGCAGTTTATGCAAAATGCCCCATGCTCAATTCCTGGCATCTCTGTGTGCAGCTAAAACTTTGGAGATCTGTTGCCAGTTTAGAGAGAACTGAGCTTGATGGTCTGACTTAGTATTAGGAAGCTGCCTATAAATGTTTTAGCATATGCTGACAGATTTCAGGCTAGTTTGCTAGCTTCTCCACCCTTCTATTTTGATATTGAAGTAAGCTATGCAGCATGACAATAGAACTTTAAAGACTGGGTTATAGTGGCTTCTCAGCTGTATAGTGTGTACACATTAAAGGAAAATAATTTACTTGCAGTTTACTTAAAAATTTAAAATAGCTGCACAATATGAATGCCATCAATGCAAATATACTTAAAGTTAACAAGAAATAAAACACCTTTGCTAGTATTTATAAAACATTGGTTGAAACAGGGATCCTTACGTATAAAAGAATCAAACCGTTAGTTTCTTAACTAAATGGTACCGTAATCCTCTGCAAAATGATAGTACCAGTGAGAAAATTAGGTTGGAAGCCACCCCTTCCATTTTTGGTGGTAATCAGCTACTGTCGTCTCATTAGTTACTCTTATTGGGAGATTATTTCAGGTATTCTACTCAATTGCTAGAGTGAACAGCTGGATGAAAAAATGGAAGTTGTTTAAATATTATAAATTTTCTTGTTGCCTGGTTTTAATATTAAATTAGATTCTAATGGCAAGTATTTTACAGTGTAACTTTTATGACGCCTTAAACATTCCCATGATTGCATAACCTATCTGTATAAGATCCAGAATATACATCCTTCAGATGTTAATGGTAGAACCTTAATAATCACATTACTCCAAAACGGACTCTCATCAGTCTGTTTACCTTCAGTAGGAAGATTATTCTATAAAAGTATAAACAGTGTTTGAGGAAGAATTACGCCAGATTAGTTCAGTGTGAACTCTCCTTGCTCTTATAGCTTTGTTGCCACTGTAAACAAATTAAATCTGGGAAATGCACAATACAGCAATTAATCTCTATATTGGACTGTTCTGGAGTCAGTGTTGATCCACATTAGCATGAAGAAAGTATGAAATATTTTTTTCTGGCTATTGAGTTTGTTCTTGAGAAGTGAGTATTTTGTAGACCATGGAAGAGGTTTTGTTTAAAAAAACTGCTACTCCATTCTTGAATTCAGGAAGGGAGTAATACTGCCAAATCTTTATAGTTTTTTGCACATACGTGCACACATTCAGAAATAAATATTTTGTGTGATAAACATCTGATTAGGAAAGACTGATAATGAGCCTGTGTATTCTATGAAATAAGAGATAATTTATTTTGTTAGAACATTGTTACCCCAAGTGACTAAGATGGGAAGAAATTATATATTTGAAGTTTTCCTTGTTCTATTATTTTGTTGATACTGTGTTAATAAAATTATGTGATATGTTTTGCTCCTCTACTGACTTTTTGACTTTCAAAATATTACGGGGAACATTATGATGTTTTCTTCATGTTGCTATATGTTAGCATATACACAATCGAAAATATATGGTCTTCACAACTGCAGAAGTATAAGGCAGTAAACCTGTAGTTTATATACTATGCATGTGAAATCTTTTGGAGGCCAGAACATACAAACTTGGTGTAACGTTTAAAATTAAAATGTTTATTATTAAGTACCATAGCACATAAGCAGGGCAAATGCAATTTCCTTGACCTAGTGAATTCAATCAACTTATGAAAAGTAGCGTAATATTTCCTTTCCTGCCTTCTGCACTCAGACCACACACAAGGATACATATAGTACTGCTTGCTTATTTAAACATTTAAAACATACTTTCATATAAAATATTGCAATGCAGTATACAGGCTAAAAGCACAGGATTACAATAAACACAACAAAACACATCAGTAAAAGCTGGTTGGCAAAGAATCTCAGGTTCAAAAGGCCTGTCTGAATAATACAGAAGATGTCTGCAAGTGAATATGGACGACTCCTACTGAGCCTCTATTGGCAAGGAGTTCCGAAGGGCAAGGCCTTCTACACTAAAGGCTCAGACCCTGGTAAATGATTATAGTGTGACTCTCTGAGATAAGCACCTAATCTGCCAAGTAATTAACATAATCTCAACGAAAACGGTCTGATTAATAAAGCATAACTTGGATAATGTTCAGGGGCAAAGCACTCAGCTGTGAAGAGGCAGTCTCCTGGGAAGGGTTAGGCTACGTCAGCCAATGGCAAATTATCCTGTGAGACACCTTGCCAGGTTTCCCTAAATGCACCATGTCCTAAGTGTTTTGCATGCTCCTGATTCACTTATTTAAACTCCAGAAATTGAGGATCAGTTCCTAGGTTGCTTTTTCCTGACCTTTGCCTTAGGTTTCAAAGCTGAAAGTCTCCCAAAGATCCTGAAAGGTTAACCTGAGTTGTGAATGAGTTTCTGAGCTACAAACATCTAGTTAAAATGTGCTTAGAGGCTGACAAAAACCAGCCTTTTCGTAGATTATCAAGCCTACTAAATTACATCTTCATCCAAAGAAGGGGGGGGGGCAGTGGTCAGAAAAAACTTGCAAAATAGCAGAGTGTAGTGTATAATGCATATAAATGCATCCTATATGTTGAGGGCTTACAGGTGAAAATGCAGCTTTTTCTCTGTCATCTATACTTATGAGAAAATCAGAGAGCACAAAAATGATAAGATACAGTCTTCATGTTTCCTAGGTAGACAGGCAAACAATGCTTCCCTTGATTCCCCCACTTCTCGCACACATAACTAGCACCCCCCCATTAAATTGCACCTCCAACTCCGAGATGTAGAAAGAGGCCAGCAACTTAATATTCTAATTATTTCGTACTAGATTTGTTTTAAACAATCAGGCATTTCATTGTGTTTGCCATAGGTTTAAGGTGTGGTTACTTGGCAGTACCTGCCTTGCCTGGTACAGAGCTTTCATTGTTTACTGTAAATTCCTTTCTCCTTTTTTGTTACTCTTATGATAACAACACGCACAGGACCTCGGCTGTGTCTGATATCCATAATCTCTGATTTGCCTTGGAGGAGCCTAGTCACTTACATTAAAACAGTGGCTTCCAGTTTCATCGGCTGCCTGGTAATTTATATCCTCTCTATGGGGCATCTTGGGTTGTTTTTGTCTTTTGGTGGGGGTATTCTTGTTTTACATTATAGTAGCAATTCTCATGGTCCATTTGGGGAACTTTCCACAACCTCCCCAAACTGGATTTAGACACCAGAACCAAACTACACCAGCAGCACAATCCCTTAAGGCTTGTCATGTTCAGTGGGACTTACCCCCAGATTGCATATAGGATTGCGGTCCCAAGTTCCTGTTAGGTCTTTGAAAAGGCAGAATCGCTGCCTGAGTTGTAACTCCCTGCTAGTGATTTGAAGTACATGCATGCTTGCACATGTGGGGCCTACTGTTGGTTCCCCCCCCCCCTTTTTGGCTGTGTCTTGTCTACCCACATGCCCAAATATTTTTCCCACTAAGCAAAATGTTGGAGGGGTTGGCAGGGCTGTTCTGCTCCCTGCCAACCCGCTATGGCTCTGTCTGGTGTGGATTTCGGAGCCCAAGGGGGTCCAAAAGATGCCAGAGAGTGAACAGCAGATAAATGCAGAGGGGTGGAGAGAGAGAGAAAACCAGCAGGAACAGCAGACACTCTAAAGCAGCCTTTCTCAAATTGGGTCCCCAAACTACAGCTCCCATCGTCCCTAGCTATCAAGACCTGTGGTCAGGGATGATGGGAGTTGTAGTCCAACAACATCTGGGGACCCAAATTTGAGAAAGGCTGCTCTAAAGTGCTGCAGCCTGCTGCCCTCATTTCCCCAGAAATGCCTCTGACCTGACAGACTCATTGAATGTTACATGTGCATAACTGTACCGAATGTACAGTATTTGTGTACACAGGTACAAAGGACTATACACTGGTTGAATGTAATGTATGAACACCCCTAATATTAACCATTTCATGGTTGTCTTGAACAGCTCCTTCTGCGCTGAACAGAAACCTATGCAGTGATAAAAAATATCCCTGGCATTAAGCTGTTCAGTTTGATCTGTTTTCCAACAGATGTTCACACAGAGCTGCCATGTTTAGAGGGCTTTAGCCAGGTAAGATCCAGTGCTCTCTCCCTGGATGCTTTCCTTCTGTGCTTTATTAGTTTTTATTGCCAAATATAATTCGGTAGATTTATTTCCATCTTTCTTGCGTCATGAAGTATATGTGGGGCTGCCAAGTGATTTCTTGTCCAGACCCTAACCAGGCACAGACCTGCTTTGCTTCAGCAAAATGGATGAATTGTTCCTCTCCATTTCAGTTTTGTCCTAGTCTGCAGTTTGTGTTTCATACCGGTACTTGCTTCTCTGATGCATTGGCAGGTTTCGCTGAAGAAATGCCCTTCCTTCCCTTCTATTCCCCAGGATCATCAAGATGAAAAGCACGAGGTGCAGTATAAAACTCAACAGGCCAAATCCTCAGCAGGGATTATGGGATTTAACAACTGTTAAAGAGTGCCATTTCTACAGTGACACTGGAAGCAAATTTTGTAAAACTAATTACTCGTATTCTGATCCCATTCTGTCACCTCTCACCAAGCTAGTTTTATTAGTTAGCTTCACGGAAATGCGTAGAAGTTACTCACCCTCAGTATTTCACAGTAGGACTCAAAGGCTTGTGGGGTGTAAGAGGAGTGTGGAGGTGAACCAGGATTTTGGGCAAGGGCTGTATGTGGAATGGGAGCTAATGAAGAAAGTGCTTAGTAAGTGATAATACCTTCTTGGGTGACAAGGCTTGTCTGAGCTTTTCTGTGCAAACTATCTTCCCACGCTAATCCAGAGTAATGTTGTTCATACAGGGCCACCCCTACCAATGAAGTAACCACCGCAGGTGACACATGCTGGGAGGTGGGGTGGAAGCAACAATCACACACACCCCTGGCTATCCTTCCTAAGGACCTCCTCTAGTCATGCTATGAGATCTGTCTTAGCCCCCCTGAACTAGCCTGCTGTTTTGGGTGCTGTAGAAGGCACTATCCCATCACCAGTGTTGAAGTGAGATACAATTACCAGTTGGCAGCGGTGCAGGGAGATCTTGTCCTTCACGTCAGGCAGCAAAATGTTGGGCCAGACTTGAGTTGGTGCTACATTCCTTCTATGGACAAGAGGAAGCAAAAGAAGAGGCAAAGCTTTGAAATGGCACCTCGTAGAAGGTGTTTTGATCCACCTGACACTTCCACTCATGGAAGGCTGATGATTTCTCCCTGCAGACACCTACACTGTTCAGGAAGAATCTTCAACTCTCTGGAGCCCCCCTCTTTTTTTTGCAAGAGTTTAAGGGAGAATCTGTTGAAATAGCAACTGTTAGATGCCACCCACTGTCTTACTAAATAATAATCCTAATGAAACCATAAGTGCCCAGAGCAACCTTCCTCTCATCCTATGAACTATGCCTTCCATGCCAACCCCAGAATTCCTCCCCTTTAGAAGTCTCCTAACCCAGAACTCCCATGTTTTTTAGCTGTTATGCAACAAACGTAATTCAGAATGAGAACCTTTTCCCATTGCCATGTTGCTCTGCTGAGAAAAGCTCTACCCATCGAATTGCAAGCTGTCCTGCAGGATCCTTGCCGGAATCTTCGTGAGCTAACAGGAAAGATAGTCCTGCCCATTTTGGGAAAAGGATTCACAGAGTGGCTTAGCCAAAGGCACCGAGTCAAGAGCAACAACCTGACTGCAATGAACTCGCAGCACTGCGGTGGCAATTGTGATGCAATGGTGAGGCATGTGGCAGCATAATAAAACCCAAGTGGGCAAGGGAGCCCTATGATATATCAGCCAGCTGATGGCTTGTGAATGCGGCTTTCCACTTCATTTGCTAGTTCTGTGCTGCTTGTTTCCTTTGTGGCTAGAAGGGGAGGCAAAGAACTGCAAATACAGCCTTGGGGAATGGCTTTCAGACTAGCTCATAATCAAGTCCAGGTTGATTGCACAACAAAATAAATTTCCTTGGCAGTTCTCGGGCCATTCCCTGGGTTTTTCTCATGCAGGCTGCACTATCCGGTATTTCCTCTCTTGTCTCAGGTTTAACAAACATTTCTCCATGTTCCCCCCATGTTTTTGAACTTTTATATAACTTTGGTAAGTAGATTCTGCAATTCGTATCTGCACCTGTTTCTTGGACGAGGCCATGACTCCGTTAGAATAACAGTTACATCCCAGCACAGATCAAACAAACTTCGAGCGTGCTGGCCGAGACGCAGCTTTTTTCCTATGCTTGACTGTGGAAAAGAAGTCATGCGAATATACCCAGGAGGTACAACCTGTACAACAGCCAAAGAGGGAAAGTATTATATGAAAGGGAGTTCAAAACATTGTTCATAGCATCACCGCTGCCTTCTGCTATGCCTATGCAGAGCCAGAGGGCTATATAACTCTTGATTATCTTCAAAGACAGAAGCAAGGGACTCAGAAAGCCCTCCTAGCTCAGCTGCTGTTGTTTGCAGGAGCCTTTCTGAATTGGAAGGTGCTATTTCACACCCTGCAATGGAGGGAGATTAGCAAAAGTGCTAATCTGACAAGAGTTTCATCTAGTTAATGGTGATAATGATAACATACCTAATATGTGTAACATACAATCAGAGTATTCAAAGCCCTTCAGATCAATTATTATTTTCTACTGTGATGTTATCTTATTATTCCTATTTTACAAATTGGGAAGCTGAAACTGACAGAAAGAGTGGCTTGCCTTAAAACCACCTAGTGAGTTCATTGCAGAGGTGAGATTCAAACTGGGGACTTTTGCATTGATAGTTTAAAGCGGACACACACACACCACGCAGTATGACAATCCTAGGAACTGTAATGGGGGAAAACAGCACCAGTTGAATTTCGGCCTGTCAAGCAGCTGTTGTAGGCACAAGCTCTTTGAAATACAAAAAAACAGTGGTAGCTCTATTTCTTATCCTATTTAATCCTCACAGCCAGCCAATTAAGGAGGGTTAACCAAATAAATGGTTTGTGGATCCTTTTCTTGGAAGGCTTGGTCTGTCTCTCACAGTTCAACAGCCGAGAGTTTCAGGGCTGGGCTTCATTTGCACTTTATTGTGCAGTGCCAAATCCAACACCCTGTCCATTCTACCATTCTGACCTTGCCCAAACAACAAAGCTCAAGGAATACTTGATGCTTTGCTTTCTGACGGGGTTAAAAATGACCACTCCCCTGTAAACTGATCTTCAGCATGTTAGCTTCTGATTTTGCAAAGCCATTTGCAAGTGCCTTGTCACTCCTGCTGAGGAATGTGGCTCTGCCCAGCTCAGCATTCACCAACCTAGTGCCCTCCAGATATTTTGGACTACAAATCTCATCAAGCTCTGCTAGCTGGCCTTTCCACTCAGAGCCTGAATACAGAGATTGAAAATGTCAGTCAGGCTATAAAGTAAACATGCAAACTAGAAGAGTAGAGTAGCTGCTGTTTCAAACGCTGGTCTAGGTTTTGACATGGATAGCAATGACTGGTGCATAATATCAGCTTGATATGAAAGGCCACAGCCCAGAGGAATCTGGATGTTCATGAATCACAAAAGCTTTACAGAGTTTTAACTTGGGAATAGCTAACTTAAAAGGCCAGGCAAGAAACACGTTGCATTTTGTTCCGTAAAGATGAAAGCTTGAGCCTGAAGTTGCCAGGTTTGGCTTGGTTTTTTCTTTGGCAGACTCCTGCAACTTTAATAAAGGCACAAGCATAAATTCAGTGCTCATGCTGATAATCTCACCAATATAGTTACTGCTGCTTCTCTCCTCTCTTTGATTTTCTTTGGCCTACAGCCTTGGCGTGACTCCTCCACTCGCTCATTTGATCTTGTTTTCTCTTGCCCTGTGTTAGCTCTATTAATGGAATTTTTCCTCTCCGGTCATTACCTTGTGACTCCAGCTTCTTGTGCCTGTTGTGACCTGCGGTCCACCGACTTTCTCAGAAACATTATCCCTCTTATCTCTTCTGCAACTTCTGCTGACTCCCTCCTCGCTGTGGTCTCCACCTACGGCTTCTCCCACTCCTAAACTCTTGGCTTATTTCTTACACTGTTCCATGAAAAGTTCTCTGTTGCACAACTTTCCAGACTAGCTATAATGCCCATTCATCGACTCTGGTTATTCTCTTGATCAACAGAGTGACTTTGGAGGAAAGAAAAAGGTCCTGGACTCATTGGATTGGAATAACTATTGACCAGTTGCAAATACTCAGTTGTGGGGAAGGTGGAAGAGAGAATTCTGGTGAGACTGCTGCACATTTTGTGGATGACACAGATTACTTAGATCTGCTCCAATCTAGGTTCAGGCCTGGCCATGGGACTAAGTCAGCCTCAGTCATCCTTACAGATGACCTTTCCAGAGAGCAGGACGGGGGGACTGCAAACTTTCTCTTGCTTCTTGACCCCCCACCATGGCAGTCCATTCCATTGGCCACAGTATTCTCCTGGACAGGCTCTATGGAATGGGAACACTGAATTACAGCGGTCTTCATCCTACCTATGGGTTTATGGCCAGAGAAAAACATTGGGAGATTTACACTATGGGGCACCACAGGGCATCACCATGTTTGTGTGCTCTTAATTGTGTGCTACACCATGCCCTCTCCTATGTAGCCATATTGTATTACACCACACTCCTATGGCAGCCATTTTGTGAATGGCACCCACAGCACTCTCTCAAATTTCAAAAGGTGCCAACTGGTCCAAAATGACTGGTGAACCCTGCCTTAGCTGGTTCTCTCACTGTTTCAGGGGTGGTTAATCCATAGCATTTGGCCCCAAGATCTCCCATTTGTCATTTAAATAAATATTTTTTTTAAAAGGGATTGTCTATATGGGTCCCCCACTATGATGAGAGGTTACTGTAATCCATGCCCTCTGCTTTTTTAAAAAAATTAACTGACTGTGCCGATAGATCCATCTGTAAGTAGTCACTACTGACTACTCCTGTGGGCTCCCTGCTGGTTCTGTGATGCCAAAAGGTTTTCATGACACAGAAAATCTAAGCACATTCAGCCAAGCATTCATAGATTCCCCCCCCCCTTCAGATCTTCCTGCTCAATGTGGAGTAGAATCAGCAGATACAGGGATGTAGGGGCAGACCATGGCCTAGCATCAGGCATGATGGGGTTGTGCCTGACCTCCATCTGGCTGACATTGTGGCGACAGGGAGAGGTACAGTGGCAAGGTCCGTGTGGTGGCCAACATGCTAGCAGGAGCACCTGATTGACTCTGCCAACATGTTTGCCTCTTGTCACAACCCACATCTCCTCCATCCTGATATGCTGCAGTGACTCAGCTGGATGGAGGGCAAGTGGGTGGTGTAACTCCACCACGACATCCACTGCTGCCTCTCCCCATCCTGCACCCATTCTGAGAATGCTTGCAGGTGAATGCTGCAACTGGACTGATGTCTAATCACCAACTCAAAGTCAACATGGACAAGATGGAACTGCTTATATTTACTCTCAAGGCTTGCTCTCCTTGACCCCTTAACAACAGCAGCAGCACTCGCCCCCAGTGATCCCGCACACAGCTTCATCTTTGATTCTTTTATCTTCTTTGCTCCCCACATTCAACCTTTTACACACCAGCAGCTTAAAACACAGCAAGGTCGTTTCCTCCTGCTGTGTTTCAAGTCCCATTCTTACATAGCTGGACACACCAGAGGGAGGGTGAGGATGTTATCACCTCATGTTACCTGATTGGTTTCCTCCAGCCTACAACTTCCCAGAGCTCTTATTCAATGAAGCTGTCATCTGCCCCTGTGCAGCAGTTGTCTCAGATCTACAAACTTCAGCTTGCATTTTCAATTCATATGCAAGCTGGTTTGAGGGGAAATGCGTCAAACAGCAGTATTTCTCAAGGAACTGCAGGGTCCAGATGGATTATGCCTATTGCCATGTTTACTTGGCTTCAAACACCAGCCCTGGGAGATCACTGGAGCCGGAGTAAATGGTAATGTGCACACAGCCGAGGTTGTGCTCTTCCTGCACAACTTGGCAAAAATCCACCCATGATCCATCTTTGTCTCCTTAGCTTATGAAACTCTGGCTGTGTCTTGGCCGTTCTCTGCTTTGACTACTGCTCACAAGTCAATTAAGATTTCCTTTCCCTTAAAGTGATTCTGCACATTCTCTCTGGTTGCCCTCCCTGCTCCAACCCATGGGTGGGACTCCCTGCCTTACCTGGAATACTGGACCACCCAGAGGTGGATTTAGAGCAGCAGGATTGGTCCCACTGCACTGGGTGCTGAGCCTAGGGGGTGTTGCAGGGCGTCACAACAATGACATAGTGGATTGAGCAGAACGGAAGGTGAGAGGTGGTGGGTTGCCAAATTTTGACGTCTCACAGAGCACCTCTGACCACCCCTGGGGCCACCTCTTTCCTTTCCTTCACAACTATGCTCCAAACTTCTGTTTTCCGTATGGTAGAGTGGGAACCTTTGGTGCTCCAAATGTTGGTGGATGGGATGTTGGCTGTGCTGGCTGGGGCTGATGAGAGTTGGAGTCCAGCAACCAGTGGTGGCTGGTGCCCATTGGGACTGGTAGGGCAGAAGGCAAGGAGACCTATCCTTTTCTCCCTTTAATCCTCCTGTTACTTCCCCAGTATGTAAACTCCTTGAGAATGGAGGCTTGACTACATTGTCCAAACAAGGAACCTGATAATTCAGGTGGGGG